CAAAATTCATTCACACAACAAAGCTCACAAACAGGATATACAACTGATGTTAAACTATTGTGTCCAAAGATAGAAATTATTTATTTTTTTATTTTATTTATTGGTTCAATTTATATGCCGCCCTTTCCCGGAGACTCAGGGAGGCTTACAATGCCTTAAGGAATAGCCTTCATACTTTTGTATATACCTGCTTAGTAGGGCTTTCGCCCCCCCCCAAGCGGTGTTCTTTTTATACAAAGTCAGCTTATTGCCCCCACAAACTGGGTCCTCATTTTACCTACCTCGAAAGGATGGAAGGCTGAGTCAACCTTGAGCCTGAAGAGATTTGAACTTGCAGTAATTGCAGGCAGCTGGTGTTACTTAACAGTGCTTAACAGTTACTTAACGGTGCTTTAGTCTTAGTATTTAAGATATGCTGTCTTTGATTTCCAAAGTATATGGACCTATCATTGACAACCCTGTCTTCCCTGAATCTGCCTATCTTCTTTTTAAAGTCATATCATCAACCCTTAGGACTGAGGGAGAGACCATAATAGGCCCAATATTTCATCACCAGAAATGGGGATAAGGCAGGTTGCATCTGTTCCTGATCTGCCTCCTTCCTAGCCCAGGAGAAGAATTTCAATTATTTTCTTTACTCCTCTTCTGTTGAACAGGCATATTTAATATGATACATTTTAAGCCTCACATAGCGAACTCAAGAAGCGAGAACTATATGGATTTCAGAAAAGCATCTTTAATATTAGTCAGGGGTAAAAATATAATCCTCAACAATGATAGGAATACATTTCCAGGTAACCTTACATCTCATCAATTAGGCCAGAGACTGTTTGAAATGTTTTCTTCTCATGTCTCTACAACTGAGTTGTCCTACCTCTTCTCATACAACTAAACTTCTCTTCATCCTCCATCTCCTCCATTTCCTCTGTCGCCATTTCCATCTTCTCCTCCTCCTCTTCCTCCTCTTCCTTCTCCTCTTACTCCCTTATCTGTTTCCTAGATCTTTCACAATTTTCACTATCTTGAATCTATCTATTGTTCCAGAATAGTACATTTGGGAGAGATTTTTCAGTGGGTGAGGTGGAGATTCTTCTTCTTAGGAACCAATAGTTTGGGGTGGATTCTATACCCTACACCATCTTTGAGTGCTCAGGTTATTGTCATCGGTAGGAATGATTATGGACATCTATGAATGATCTATCAGCTGTACCAACTTTTGATGAAGGATGATCTGGGTACAGTATTTCTGTACTGGTTACCTTCTGATTTGATTGCATTGTGCTCTATATGAGGACATTGTATGGAAGCTGTTATCTATTATTATCTGCTAATAACGAACTGCAATTTTTCTTTTATTTGTTTATTAATCAAATGTATATAGTTGCCCATCTCACCAAGGGAAATTCTGATCACACTGAAAGAGGTCGCATAGGAATCAAGTAGGTTTAGGGCCTTTTTGCTGATGGCACAATCCTGTGAAACTCTCCTGCCCCTCAGTCACAAACTGGTTTTCACAGTTGAATTGTCTTTTGATGAATTATTTTAATGGCTTTTGGATACATTATCATGCTGTTACTTTGTTTTGTTATGATTGAGGCAGTTTTATGATGGTTGCAGCTTATTGTGGATTAGTTTTATTTTTGGTTTTCATTGTTGTTTATTGATTCTATCTGATTACTACTGCTAGCCAGACTGTCGTTTGGAATTGTGTGCTATATCAATGAACAGAATCACTAAAATGAAATGAAATGAGATGAAAAATCACATCTGTTAGCAATCAATTCTATTGTTTAACTATCTGTTTTATAAAGTCTTTTCATTAGTCTTGAAACTCTCATGTAACTTGGAGTATTACAAAACAGGGAGGAAGTGGAGAAATTTCCTGAAGATCACACTTTATCTTGAAATGGTGTTTAAAGGGAGCTGCATTTTAGTTTTTAAGATACAACTGAATTTGATTTTATTGGTTCAATTTATTTATTGGTTCGATTTATATGCCACCGTTCTCCGGAGACTCAGGGTGGCTTACAATGCATTAAGCAATAGCCTTCATACTTTTGTATATACCTGCTTAGTAGGGCTTTCGCCCCCCCCCCCAAGGGTGTTCTTTTTTATACAAAGTCAGCTTATTGCCCCCACAATCCGGGTCCTCATTTTACCTACCTCGGAAGGATGGAAGGCTGAGTCAACCTTGAGCCTGGTGAGATTTGAACTCGCAGTAATTGCAGGCAGCTGGCAGCTAAGGGCTACTTAACAGCACTTTAGTCCGCTGCACCACCAAGGCTCACTTAATTTTATATCATTTGCATGCACGTTTCATTAAATTAAACTAAAACAATTAAATACAATGTCAAACTTCGTATTTTATGGTAAGATCAAGGATGCAAGATTTCAAGGAATGAATTCTATGCCAATGGAGACCTGCAATTTTTATTTTATTTATATATTAATCAAATTTATATATTCGCCTATCTCACCAGAGGTGACTGTCCACCCTGAAAAAGATGCAAGAATTAGGAATAAAGTATAGAAGCTTGAAAACTATGATAGGAACTTCCAATGATGATTGAGTGAGGCAGTAGGTCTTCCAGTGTTTTGAATCTGTTTGCAGCATGGATTGAGGTTCTGTGTATGAGATAAGATACTAACAATCATTATTGTTTGTTTATGTCAGTGATTTTCAAACTTGACAACTTTAAGATATATGGACTTCAACTCTCAGAATTCTGGTTGAGGAATTCTGGGAGTTGAAGTCCATACATTTTAAAGATGCCAAGTTTGAAAAAAAAATTAACAAACAGTTAACTTGGTAATTTACTATATACTGTATATAATAATTCCATGTCTAGAAATTTCAAAAGTATAATCCCATAATTATAATATTAATGTTGGGGGCATATTGAGAAGATTTCTGTAGCCTTCTCCAATGCTTTGGGAGCCTCAATTGCACATCCTTGTCTATGTTTATAAACACTGATGAGCTATTGACAGTCCCCCTGTTACAGGGGTGGGCAATTGTGTCCCTTTTACAACCTGTGGACTTCAACTCCCAGAATTCATGAGACTGCTTGGCTGTCTCAGGAATTCTGGGAGTTGAAGTCCACAGGTTGTAAAAGGGCCACAGTTGCCCACCCCTGCCCTATTACAATGTAAGTATGGACAAGTTAGCTGCAACATAATAGATTAAGCAAGGACACTCCAATAATTGTCTCTGTTTTATGCGTCCATACGGTGGGAGCAGAATGACAGCTTGCACTCAAGGACAAATCTGAATAAGCCCCACTTTAAAAAAAAATTGCAGCTATATTTTTAATGGTGCAAGGCATAAATTTAAAAGGATAAGAACTGCACAGTCAAAATGGAATTGTGTGAAAGAGTTAGGTGGTAACTAATCAGAGGATTTAGTCTTTGTCTGTGCCAGACTAGATTCTCCTTGCAGTTATTATCCACTTAATGCTATATTGCCCTTCAGTGATGAGGTCTCTGTAATTTCTGAAAGATAAATTCCTACAAGCTGAGTATACTGATTGTAGGTCAAATGCTACACTTACAAGGAAAGATGTGACCCAGGTTAAAGCAGAAACTTATCCTTTAAGAGAAAAACAGATCCTGGCAGGACATGAGCAGTTGAAGGTGAGAAAGGATGGAGGGAAAAGATAATCGAGCTATATCAGAAGCCTTCTCATCCTCAGCAAGAGAAGCCTTGAAACTGCCATGTGCTTCTGCAAAACCTTCCACTGGATTTACAAGTCCGGTTACCAGCCAAACACGGCTGCTGCCGCCAAATGAAAAATCCATGAGAGGCAAAGGGAGGAAAAGTTAATGTAATATTAAAACTAGAAATATCCATTCTGTCAAATGAAAATGCCCTGCTGTTTGATCCCATTTATTGCAGTAAAGCTTTATATCAAAGCATCTTGGGATTTTAAATTACATGCCAGATGTAATTTTGCAGCGTGAACATAAAATGCAAGGGGAGGAGAGACTGATCAGCTCCATGTCTTTGATTGAACTCATATGAAACCTTTAAAGTAGGTCCCAGTCTAGTTGACAACCTAAAAGGAATGTTGGAATGGACACTTTCCACAAGAGGTTATGTTTAATGCCCAGAATAGGTCTCTATATTGTTCTTTATGGATGCCTTTATTATTATTTTGGTGCAGCAGCAATGGAGTGATATGTGACTTGGGACCACCTTTTCCCTGGAAATAGAGTCTGGTGGGATTTGTAGATTACATAGAAATATTTATGTAGGGTAAGACGTCATGATCTAGAATGCTCTTAATAATTTAGGACTAGCTAAGTTAGTCACCCACCCTGGCCACACCCACTCTGGTCCCCTGATGTGGCCCTCAAAATAAAATTGAGTTTGATACCCCTGGCCTAGCTTATTTGAACAACTGTATCATTTTTTAAAAGCTACTCTGGACATTTAGAAGACCTTCTGAAGAACTCATTCTCTTGATATCAACATCATCATAGCTTTCTCTGGGATAGCTCTGAGGTTTTGGAACCTCTTTCAATGGAATGTAGGCTAGTTCAATGTTGTTGTTATTGTTTTACCAGCAAGTAAAGACAGTTCTCAGTATTTGTATATTTTAGGGCGTTGTTTTAAAATATTGTAATGACGTTGTTTGTAATTGTTCTATGGCTCACCTTGTGTGACATTCATTAAGGGAAAAAGGTCAATAAAGTAGATTATAAGTAAATAAAAATACATACATAAGGATGTTGGCTATACCATTGCATTAAAGGTCTGTTCAACAAAAATACTCAGTGCAATTTAAGTACTATACATAGAATCCTATATTTGCATTGCATTTGTTTGTTGTTAGACATTCCATTGAAGTGAGTACAATTTCAAGATAAAGAAAATATATCTACCGCAAATGCAGTACTTGATTAAATAGTCAAATTTGCTGTAATAAGATGTAGGAATGGCCACCACATGGAAAGCCTGTATTTTTTTTCTTTTTATGACTTTAATTCCTTTGTTTCAGGGTGGAGTCGGGGCAACTGAGTGGAACTGAGTGTTTACTGGCCGGATGCCCATTCTGATGTCTACATGGAGTTTTCAGCAGGTATTTTCTCTTTGCGCCCTGATAGCGAAATATCTGCCACTGCCTAGGATTTGGGAGCATCTGAGCACTGATTCCTTAAATAGATTTCTTGCATGCATACAAAGACATACATAATCTGCCTACAGATTCTGACTATAGAAGATCCCAATAAATTGAGATATTTTCTCTTTGCGCCCTGAGAAACACCTGCCACTGTTTAGGATCGGCAGATGTTTGTCTATCAGGATGCAAAGAGAAAATATCTGCTGCATCAGGTAGCCAGCCAGTAAGTACTCAGCTCCACTCAGTCACCCCAACTCCACCCCAAAACAAAGGGAAAGCCTGTAACAATACTAGTAAATTTTCAGTGATTCCTGCAGAATTAGCAAGCTGGTCCTGTAAATGTATCATTGTGATTCTAGCTCCAGCTCCTTTTTGGGTGTGTCGATTTTCCATGCAAACCAAAGGTGGGGAGGTCTGCATCACTACAGGATATCTGCCTTCTTGCCCATTATATGACTTTTTTAGCTGCAATATTTTTGCAGTTATGCCACAACAAACCAAACTACAGTAATAAAACCAAACTTTCCTGACAATGACAACAATTAATCAGTGGAACAAGTTGACTTCAGAAGACATGGGTACTTTTTTTTTTAATTTTAATTTTTTTTTATTTATTTAAAACAATACATCAAAAAAAAGAAATAGTCAAACAAATGATCGCAACAGGAACTTTGCATGATATTTACACTTTCTACGGTATGTAGGCTTCAGTCAGATTTAACATATATTAAACATAATCCTGGTTATACTTGACTTTTTGGGCATCTGTTGTTCAACCAAATGTACCATTTGTCCCAACATTGGAAATATACGGAGTCCTTTTGATCTCTCAATGCTTTAGTCAGTCTGTCGGCTTCCGCATAATCCAAAATTTTCTCCAAAATCAAATCTTCAGCCGGCAGGTCTTTCCCCTTCCAATGTTGGGCGAAACATATTCTTGCTGACGTGGTGATAAATACACACAAACACCATATATTTGTGCCTATGTTGTCTGGCCTGATGTTCAGTAGATAGTACTCTGGTTTCAGAATTAGGTTATAACCTGTGATTTCCATGATTCATGCCTGTATAATTTTCCAGAATTCAGTCGTCCTGGAGCAGGTCCACCACATGTGGAAATAGGTGCCAATCGCCCCACCCTTCCAACAGTTTGGTGAGAGATTTGAATACATTTTAGAAAGACAAGCAGGTGGAAGGTGCCATCTATACAGCATCTTGTACACATTTTCTTTGTATGATGTTGCCCACAGGAATTTCATATGTTTAAGCCAGATTTCTTCCCATTTTGTCAAATCAATTGGATAGCCAATATTTCTCCCCCAGGCAATCATAGAGTCTTTAACTATTTCATCCCCTATCCAATAGTCTATTAAAAGTTTATATATCCTTGATAACATTTTGTCCTCTTTTCCTAGAATGATATTGTCCAGATCATGCTGATTCAAATTAATACCATCTTGTTCCCTATCTTTTTTAAATTTCGAGCAAATTTGGGCATAAGCCCACCAATCCAGTTGTCTTCCCTGCAACTCCAACTCATTTCTTGATTTCAGACTACCATGGGGGTCCAAAAATAAAAATAAAAATAAAAAAAAGAAGAAGACATGGGTACTTAATCAATGGAGTTTTTAAAGAAGATATTGGACAATCATTTGTCTGAAATGGCACAGGGTTTCCTGCTTGAACAGGAGGTTGGATTAGAAGACCTCCAAGGTCTCTTCCAACTTTTATTATTTGGTCATTTTATCTCTGCACTGTGAGTTGACCATATATCAGAATCTACAATTATCTTCATAAGGGAATCCGGGAAGCTAGCACAACTTCTGTTGCTTTCAGCTGCATGCATATTCTTCTATGCAGGAAACAGTTAATTATTTTCCCACTGTTGCATTTATTTATATTTTAAACTAGGCCTGCTTTAAGAAAGCTTATTTCAACATCTCGCTCGCCAAATGTAAAAAATGAAAGGAAGGGTAAAATCTAATTTGCCAGCCTTACATGTATGAACAGTATTCTTCTAGTGCCTCAACACTGCTGCCTCCTTCTGTGCACGCCTGGCTGCAGACTTTAATTAACTTCCCTGGCTGAATCAGAGCTGTTGTTAATGAAGCAGCTAATTCTGAGAGCAGGGGGCATGTGCTACCATTTAGTGCATTTGTGTGATTCCAGCACCCAAAAGTCACTCGATTTCCCCATGAGTTTGTCCTCTTTGATTATGATGATGATGATGACGATTTAAAGCATAATTACTCCCATTCTTACCTATGTTGGTCATGCTGAGATCAAGTCTATTACTTGTCCCTTATTCTCCATTTCCCTCTAATATATTTATGCTGGACACAAAGGCTTTTTTCCCAGAAGCAGATTGAAGGTGAAAAGTGGCAGGGATTTTGGGGGCACCTGAGCACTGATTCTTTAAATTGATTTCTTGCATACATATAAAGACATACATAATCTGCCTACAGATTCTGGCTAGAGAAGATCCCAATACATTGATAGCACTTTACTATTTATATCTTTAAAAACATATGCCTGATAGAAGAACATGTTCTCAGTTCAATGATAATATTCTGAGCCTTGTTTCTTAGTGCTGCCAATCTCTGTGATACAATGGATGATTATCACAGGAAGAATTTTCCTAATACCCAACAGTCAATATGTATAGACTAAGGCCATCTTGTAGAACTGGTTTTTTGTTGGTTTTTTCTTCTTCTTTTTATCTTATCCTGCCATGTTTCATGCTGTTTATTTTCATTAACTGGTTTTATTTTAGTAGCCTGGTTTGTTACGGCATAAATGCAGAAATATTGCAAATAAGAACTGTCATCCTATAGGGGCAAGAAGGCAGACAGCATGTTGTGATGCAGGCTCTCCCCTTTTGGTTTGCATGAAATATCAACTTACATAAAAAAGGAGATCATAGTGATCCATTAATAGGAGCAGTGGTTCCTAATTCTTCTATTATTATTATTATTATTATTATTATTATTATTATTATTATTATTATTATTATTATTACTGGATTTTAATAGAAAAAATTGTTTTATTATTGGTTTTTTGTTGCTTTTATCGATTGCTTGGGTCTTTTTTGTCTGTACTTGGTACTTTCAACTAGGAAGCATATATATATTTAAAAAAATAAGAAAGTGATCTGTCTTCCATCAGCAAAATAAATCATTTTTAACTTCAGATCCAATAATCTAGAATATTTATTTAAAACATTTAAATACCCATGACTCTTATAACCAACTCTGGGCAACTCCCAGTGGTGGGATTCAAGTAATTTAACAACCGGTTCTCTGCCCTAATGATTTCTTCCAACAACCGGTTTGCCAAACTGCTCAGAAAGTTAACAACCGGTTCTCCCGAAGTGGTATGAACTGGCTGAATCCCACTACTGGCAAATCCCAATCAAAAGCTAAAATACCCTGCAAAACTACATTAAAACTATAGAACTGAACATGTTTACATACTATCCCTTTCCTTTCCTTTCCTTTCCTTTCCTTTCCTTTCCTTTCCTTTCCTTTCCTTTCCTTTCCTTTCCTTTCCTTTCCTTTCCTTTCCTTTCCTTTCCTCTCCTCCGTCCCTCCCTCTTTCTTTCTTTCTTTCTTTCTTTCTTTCTTTCTTTCTTTCTTTCTTTCTTTCTGTCTTTCTTTCTTTCTTTCTTTCTTTCTTTCTTTCTTTCTTTCTTTCTTTCTTTCTTTCTTTCTTTCTTATCAAATTTAGCACTGCCATCTTCCTCAAGAGGGATTTGATGAAGGTGGCTCAATAAGTATTGAAAAGTGCACAAAGTTTCTTTGGATAATAAGTTCCCCAGGTTATGGCACATTAGGTGCAGGAGAGAGGGAGATAAACCAAGTGAAGGAAGGAGGGAAAGTATACATGCAAGCTGGTATACACCATCCTTGCTTAGCAATATGGGAGCAACTTCTCTGTGGTTTAGTAAGAAAATAAATTGCTGGGAGATTGAAGACAGGGGACAGGCAGTGTGAGAAAGGAGACTCTTAAGTTTGTCAAGTAGCAATCATATAATGCATTGGGACTTAAGTCAGTACTCTCAACAAGAGCCAGGGCTTGAGATTACATTTTAGTAGCTGCCAATACACTCATCCACTACAATTTTCAACGTGCATGCATAGCGTGATTTACTTGACTGGGAAGAGTATTGACATTTTTGAACTTTGATGTTGGAGAAGGCTCCTGACAATACTATAAACAGCTAAGAAAGCAAGCAAATGGATCATCAAACAAATCAGTTCTCACTCAAAGCATAAATGATCAAGCTCAAATTACCTTACTTCAGATATATTATGCAAAGACATAACTGTCTAGAGATGGCTTAATGATGGGATAGAAGAAAGGAGAAAAAAATAAGGGAACAACCAACAGCAAGGTGGATGGACTGAATTACAGCAGCAATGAGTGCACCATTGAAGACATGAAATACCAGGTTAGGAGCAGATCATCATGGAAAATAACTACCTATGTGGCTGCTATGAGATGAAAACAACTTAATCAATCAATCAATCAACCAACCAAGGAGAATTGAACAATTTCTGTTGAGGCTACCTCTCTGAAGATACAGAAGAGTTGTCAAATGATCACCTCCCCCAAAGTCCTGGAATGCAATATCACTAGCACTTAGCAATAGCACTTAGACTTATATACTGTAAGTGATTTACAGAGTCAGCATATTGCCCCCAACAGTCTAGGTCCTCATTTTACTGACCTTGGAAGGATAGAAGCTAAGTAAACCTTGAGCTGGTCAGAATCAAACTGCTGGCAGTCAGCAGAGACAGCTTGCAATACTACATTCTAACCACTGCATTACCACAAACCTTGAAAGCCTGACTCTGTGATAGGATCTGGATACATTTATCAGGGAATACATGTTTTGCTTGTCAACCAGTTTTCCAAGCAAAAGGATGGAACAGGTCCTGTTGATCTACACC